CCCCCGACAGGGCGCCGGGGGGGGGGGGGGGCTAGCAACCAGTGTTCCCTCTAAGCTGAGTTAGTGTGAGCTAGCTCACAGTTTTCCAGCCTCACACGTTTTCCCCTTAGCCCAGGAAGGAAGGAGGGCTCCAGAGCAAACTGATTTATGCAGGAGCCAAACCGCTCGCTCACAACTTTAATGCTCGTAGCTCACAAAGTAGAATTTCTGCTCACAAGACTCCCGCAGCTTAGAGGGAGTATTAGTAGCAACCCTACTTTACAAAAAAAAGTGTAAGATGATTCTTGAGGCTCTAGCTGCTGGTTGCCAACCCAGCTGTTCGAAAGCCCTGACGAGTAGATAAATGGGTACCTGACCTTAGTTGGTCAGGGGGGTACCCTCCCCTAGAAGAAGCGGAAGAACTGTGGCTCCAGAGAGAAAATAGCGACACCGGTAACAACAATGGCGGCATAACAGCGGCAGAAGCAGCGGCGAAGGGAAGGCCCTCCGGAACAATGACTGGTCGGAGGTCAGCAGCGGCGCAGCGTCATTGGAGAGATTGGAGCCGGAAGGACGTAATCCCCATTGCCTGCGTGCAGCAAGCCCGACGAGCCAGCAGGGGCCGCTGTGGAAGCCAGCTAACTGAAGTCCCCCTTCTAAGAAAGAACTGCGCGAAGAGGCATGTGACCGCCCGGAAAAAAGACGGAAGGAGAAGCAAGAACATCTGCGGGAAAAGCCTTCAGAGGGTATCTGGTAGGGTTCCCATCCCCCTGAATTTGTGGCCATAGTTAGGATCCTAGTAAGCGTGTGCACACACGATACTTAATAATAATAATAATAATAATAATAATAATAATAATAATAATAATAATAGGGTTTTGGTAGTGCTGGAGGCTCTCAGTTGAATTTTGGCTGATGAATTAATTTGTGGGGTTTTAATATATTTGCTGCCAGGTATGCATAATTTTGTAAGCTAACATGGGCCCTTTGGGGAAATATATATATATGTTTATTTTCATGTATAAACTGCCCTTCTCGCTTGGGCTCAAGGAACATAATAAATCATAATTTGTCCATATTTGCAAGAAATTATGCAGGAGGGA